AGTGACTATATCAAATGGACACTTCACAGTTTAGAAGTAATTTATATCTATAATTTTGAGAGTGCAATTCTAAGTTTATAGTGGAGTAACTATTGAAATTAATAGAATTAATTAATTAATTAAAGTGTTTAATTAATTATTAATTTTATTAGAGTTCGGGATTATAGGTCCATTAGTCCCCGCGTCGTCCTAGTAATTCTACCAGACACAAAGGACAAAATGAGAATTTTAGAATTACAGAATTCTAAAATTAAACACTCGAAATAATTTATTGAGAATTAATTATTATTTAAATAATGTGATTATTTAAATTTAAATTTGAACACATCTAGATTTATCCATTTAAACTTATTTGATAAGTTGTTCAATTTAGAATTCAAATTAATTTAAGTTTGACTTAAATTGAAATTTGAATTTGAGTTAAAATTGGACTATAGGATAAAGGATGATTTTCTCTTCATTCCCTATCTGCAAATTGGCGCCACACAGAGATGAGAATTCTCTAAGGTGGTCGGCCACACTAAGGATAAGGGAATGAGAGATTTTGTTTCAAATTCAAATAAGAGATAATTAATAAGCTTTATCTTGGACATAGAGATTGGATTCCTTTTAGAAGTTTGACTTCTACTCTATAAATAAGAGAATGATAGAAAATTGCGCGAGACAATTTTTGAAACAATTTTTTCCCTAATTTGAATATGGTGGCTGAAATTATTCTCATAGAGTGAGAGGGAAAATTTTTCTCCAAAAATTCCACATCGTGCATGCGTTGGTGTTTGTGGAAATTTGAGTGTTTATTCTAACTCGTTTTGTCTCATGTGTGCCCACACACACGTCTTCATGGATTCTAAAAATTGACGTGGAAGACATTGGTTTTCTAAACACAAAGCTTTGGAGCAAGGATTGTTTGAGGTCAAAGAACTCAAGTTATCATCCTAATCGGCCGCCGGGTATTATTCGTAATTGAGTTCTTAATAAATAAATTAATGTGATTAATTTATTCGTCCATAAATTAATATAATCTGTAGAGTATCTCAGATGTTTTATGAAAATTTTTGTTATACACGATCCTCCTCGCTTCCGCATCCGAATTCGATTCGGAGACCAACAATATATATATTGTAAATAACTTTATATGACAATATATTATATATATATATATTATAAATAACCTCATATTATATATATATATTTATTGTAAATAACTTCATATAACAATGTCCTATGTATATATTCATGTATAAATATACATAAATAATCTATTTCTATTGTATACAAATTATTAACTTTTTCTAAGATATAAAATTATCTCCTACTGCAATGCGCGTAAACGTGCGCGTCCATGGATAGTCTATATCTATAACTAGTTATAGGGGATTAGACACAAATTACTATTTAAATTTTAGTTAAGTTATTTTGTCTTCTTTTAATGTCACTTGTCAAATTTTAATTGGGTGCTTTCTTTAGTGAAATGCAAGTGTTGTTACGTAAATAGTTCATCCTTTTAGTTTGTCACATGCCTGAATAGTATATGTGGAAAAAACGAGCTCACGTGAATCACCATACAGGTAATCAAACACTAATGGAAAATGGTTGACAAAACCGCCATAGGTTGTGTTCTAATTGACTGATTGAGAACTGTGGCAGGGCCCACCTGATGCATGTTTGCTGCTCCACTCTCCTTTCTACGCGTATTGTTCACGCACGCATCAAGGTCGTTGATAAGTTTATCTGACAGCCAAAATAATTTCTGATTTTATTTTTTTATTATATTTATTTATTTTGAACTAATTTGGGGTCTGATTTTGTCTGTTTTAACACCGTTTTGCACCAAAATTCTGATACTGCTAAAATAAAAAATATTATGAATAATTTGAATAAAAATAAAATAAAATAAAAAAGCACTAAAATAAAATAAAATCACACTAAATTAAATAAAAAATAATTTAAAAATAAAATAAAACAAATATAAAACACAACAAAATAAGTTAAAATTATTTTTCTATGTTTTAGTTATTTCTCACTTTTGTCTTCATTTCTTTTATGTCATTTTTTTTTAATTATTTCTCACTTTTTTTAAACAACAATTTATATAACTACTATTTTAAATGAATCACGCACGCGAAGTGCGCGTTAAAGACTTGTACTCTTTAAACGCGCATGACTTTTATTTTTATCACTTATTCTTGATTAATATCTATTTTAGTCAAGTAATTATATTAATAAAATGGTACTAATCATGAATAAATAATAAAAATTCAAATTTATACATTTTTAAGAATAAGTTTAGTAATTTTAAAAAAAAAAAAAAAAAATCTTAGATCTGTTAGGTTGGACAAGGGCCAATAGTCATAGTTCATTTTACCACAAACGTTTTGAAAACAAAATTAGGTATATAAACAAAAAAAAAAAAAAAAAGAAGACACTTAGAAGACGACCAAAGAATCATGCATAACATGTTTTGTTTAAGGAGGAAGTGCAACGCCGGCTCCCAAGCTTGTCCCTACTTCCTCCATCCTTATCCTCTAACAAATTGCTTCATATATCTTCTAAGCGCGTGCACGTACGCACCAATGAAATTTTGGTCATTACCCCGTTTGTGTGCTGTCCTTGCGCTTCCGCCCAATAAAAAAAGTCGTTGCAATACACACCGACTCCCACGAGTAATCCACCACAAGAAAAAAAGATTAGTACTGTTTTTCTCTCAAAATCAGTTTCTATTTATAATAAAAATTAATTTTAGTGTTTAGTAAATCTCACTAAAAATATTTTTTAAAATTTTTTTAAAGAATTTATAGTTAAAATCAGAAACAACTTAAAGACAACTTTAACTTTTAGATTGTGCAGGAATCAACATAGTATAATTAATAAAACTTTTATAATACCCATATGATATTATAATTATAATATGATATTATAATTATAATATGATATTATATATGATACTATAATAATATTATAATTATTTTAATAATAGGATATTATAATTATAGGAATTGTCTCCAGTCCGGTATCCGGACTGGAGCGACACTTGTTCATTTCTCTATAAAACATGTATATTTCTTCTTTAGAATGTGTATATTTTCTCTTAAAACATATACATTTCCCTTTATGGCAAAATATACGATATATACATATTTTAAGATGAAATATACACATTCTAAAGAAAAAATATACATGTTTCAGAGAAAAAAATACACAGTCTGATGTCGGATTGGAGACTTTACCTGTAATTATAATATGATATTATAATTATAATTTTATAATAATATTATATACTATATTAATTTTTAATTATATTATAACTGAAATATTATTATTTTTTTTGTAATATTATAATATGTTTTATAATATTATAATTATATTAACCATTTTAATGATATTATTATATTCTATATTATTATTTATTTAATAATATTTTTATTGTATTATAACTTATCAAACGCTATTACATTGATTTTAGAACTAACACAGCTACTATAATTATAGTTTACCAAATACTCAGTTGTTTTGTGTAACAGCTGTTTTTTCTTTCAACACAGTTAAAAATAATTTTTTTAAAATCTATATCAATACCAAACTAAGCCTAATACCTTAGAAGGGCCACATGTGATTTGTATTTCAATAATACCTTTAGGATTTTGTAGAACAATTAAAAAAAATACCCAGCATATTCTAATAAAAGTCACCACTTCATTGAAGAAAATGGTTATAAAAATCACCACTTCATTAAAGAAAATGCTTATAAAAATGTATAAATATATTAAGAGATTTTTCCTCTTTTTTTTTTTGAAAACAAAGAAGTGCTTTAGATTTATCTATGTTTTTTTATGTAAGTGATGTAATCAATGACAATATCATATACTTGCATGCCCTAGGTGAAAAAGAAAATAAATGTAAACGCGGCGTGGTAGATATAACAGCCGTTTTAGTTTTCTATAAAAGAAAATAGAATATGCAAGATAAAGAACTCTTTTGTTAAAAAAAAAAAAAAAAAAAAAAAAAAAAAAAGATAGTGAAGGTCTTACTGTTGGTTTTTAAAAGTCATCAGTTCATGTTCATTTATGCTATATACCATATAATCAAGGCAAATTTCTAACTAACTTTCTTTTGAACGTGTCCTCGAGCATGTTGGCTTGCCTTAAAATGGCTTGGTTCTCTTGGAGCTAAGCCGAAGGTGTTGGATTTGTGAAATCAAAGGACTCTTTAGCAGCGCAAGTGATGAAGTTATATTGACTGTAGAACTATGCCTAACTATTAATGCAAATTGGATGATGGGGCTGACGGTTTCCCCCTCTTACTCATTCTTCTTTTCCTAATACTAACCAAACCTTGAGTTATTGATACGCTGCATTTAGCGTCAGAATGTTTCACTCTGTGTGTATATACATTGGGGTTAATAAAATGTTACAATTGAAAATTTCTCACTTCTCTTTTATATTGGTTTAATTTATAATTCAGAGTAGTTTTTTATTATGCATTATAAATTTTTTAACGTGAATACTCATTCATCATAGTGTTGAGAAATGAGTCCAATGACTAGAACAACAGTTCCACATTTTCTGCCGTGCAAGTAAATTTGAAGGAGACGTTTGGTTCATAGATTAAAATTAAGTGATTAAAATTATTTTTAATTTATGTGTATTTTTTATAAAAAAAAAATACTATAATAAACTATGAATCATGATTCAAATCATGATGATCGGGCCACACTCGCCTTCTAAAAGCGCATGGGTCAGCTGACAACTCCACTTCCCGTCTAAACAAGAGAAAAAACCGAAGCCCGACGGGGGGGCCCAAAAAAAAAAAAAAGGGGAAATTTAGGGAAAGAACATTCGCATCTCGCAGCGTAGTCAATAATAAACTATGAATCATGATTCAAATCATGATGATCGGGCACACTCGCCTTCTAAAAGCGCATGGGTCAGCTGACAACTCCACTTCCCGTCTAAACAAGAGAAAAAACCGAAGCCCGACGGGGGGGCCCAAAAAAAAAAAAAAAGGAGATATGTAGGAAAGAACATTCGCATCTCGCAGCGTAGTCACTCTTTTGTGTCAGCATTAGCAACTCCAACCAAACCCACCACCACCATTACCCATTTAAACGCACTTTCTTACTTCCATTTTGCCCCCACCACTTCTTCTTCTTCTTCACTTTTCATTCTAATCCTCATTATTATTCTTATTATTATTGTTCTAACATTAATTACTATAAGAAGTTTCCATTTTGACCTAGCCCTCCATCTTCACCTTGCTCCTCACGTCTTTTTCTCTTCTCTCCTTTGAATTTACATACGCGGCAATGCTTGAATTTCCGTCTCTCTCGCCATGAACGACTCTCGGAGCGCCTCCTCCTCCTCCGCCGACTCCGCCTCCATCGCCACCGCCGATCAGGTAACAAAACTTTAAATCTTTTCGCTAATTCTTTGTTCAATTTCATGTCTTTTGGGGAAAGTTTATTTTGTTTGACTATGGTGATTTAGAATGTAGGCCGTAGTCGGAGGAGTTCCGATGGCAGTCAAACGCTTGGTTCCGAGCCGTCGCGGCGGTGGCGCGACGTTTTTTGGTTGGGGATTTTTGTCATACACCTGGTGGGCTTGGGGTTTGTCCTTGCGGTTCTTGGGCTAAATAGGTTTAAGAAAACGGATAGGTTGAAGATAGATAGGTATATGGATCGAGTGTTGGAGAATCGAAAGGAATTGACGGAGACGTATTGGCCCTTCTACGCTCTCGCCGGCGGGGTCGGGGCTGTTCTTGGGTGGACTTGGTTGTTGTTGCTTGGTTCTCAAGCCAATTACATGATGAAGGTCTCGGTCCACATTTTGACCACATATCTTGCTGTTATTAGCGTTTTGTGCTTCTGGGGCGAGCAGTTTTTCTGGGGCGTTGCATTCGCGATTGGTGCCGCGTTGCAGTTCTTCTATGTCATATCTGTCATAGAAAGGTATGAGCTCGAAATTTGAGTTTTGATATGCATCGTACTTTTGAGTATGTATTTGGATTTGGAATGGTATTGTGGTTGTTTTGTTTTTGCTTCTCCTGTTTTACTATGTGTTTTCATTCAATAGACTTCCATTTACGATGCTGGTGCTACAAAAAGCCGCAAAGATGGTGTGGACTCTCCCTGAAGTTAGGCGGGTGTCGTATGCATTCATGGTTGTTATGCTTCTGTGGATGGGGTTATGGTCGTTTGGAGCAGCCGGTGTTGTTGCTTCGAGCATTGATGATGGCGGACGCTGGTGGCTTCTTGTGGTGAGCTGGCAAGTTTTTCTCTTTATTCCATCTGTTGGTATTGGGATGAGAATAGCTTTGAAGTGCCATTAGAATTTGTCTTTGATTATGACTTTTGCAGCAATGTTGTGCATCAATACAGGTTCTCTCGGTAAGCTTATTTTGGACAGGTGCAGTCCTTTGTAATACTGTACATGTTATCGTATCTGGGATGGTGTTCCTTGTTCTTATCCATGGTGGGCGCGAAGCGTCTTCTGTGCCTCCGAATTCCTTGATCAAGTCTCTACGTTATGCTGTGACTACTTCATTGGGCAGCATCTGCTATGGATCACTCTTCACAGCTGCTATTAGGACACTGCGGTGGGAGGTAAACATGTGTGCACTTTTCTTTTTTTTTTTTTTTTTCATATTCGGAGAATTATTTTGTTTTTGAAATTCTGGAATATATTTCAGATCAGGGGAATCCGTTCAAAGATTGGCAACAACGAGTGTCTACTTTGCTGTGTTGATTTTCTTTTTCATCTTGTGGAGACCCTTGTTCGTTTTTTCAACAAGTATGCTTATGTACAGGTAGTTTTGTTTTTTCTCTGATTGTAATCTCTGTCAATTTAATTTTTGGTCAAATTAACAAATCTAACCAGCTTTTGTACAATCAAGCTGGAAGAAGTTGCAGAATCGGTCTACATAATAGGTCTGCTTTACTTAAACTGTTGTCCTTTGAAGTTAGAGGGTTTGCAACATCTTATTGCTCAACTTATTTAATCCCCTAGACTTATTGAATTGACTTCCAATCTTTATCGCTGGAAATGAAATTCTTATTTGGTATGCTCAATCATCTCTGTGTAAGTGGCACTTGCTTAACAATTCAATTGGATCGGTGGGGGTGGGGGTTGGCAACTAAAGAATCAGGGGCGTTGAAATGTTGTTTCAAACCAAATTGGGATGGCTGCCAATGGTCATGAATAATAGGACACGACATGATGACAATGCTTATCAGCACATGCACACTATGTAGTGGCAGAATTGAATTATTTGACTCAGTGCAAGCATGTTGAAAATAATAGTTGCTGGTCTTGACTTGTAGAAGGGGTTCATTTTCTTCTCATTAATAGCTTGTTTGGTTGGAGGGAAGAGTGGGAAGAGGGAGAGGGGTGAGGGAATAGAGATTAGTGGAAGGATTTTGAGACCTTTGGTTGTTTGGTAGGAGTGAAAAGAGAAGGGAATGGATTAGGTGAGGGATTTCAAATCTTTCAAAGAACGGGACTCCATACCTAAGTCTAACATGATAAGAGAAATGTCTTTTCTTTCCTCATCTAGTTCATATGCCTTTCATTTCTACTTTCTTTTCCTCCTACGAAACAAAGGCTAGGGGTTCCAAATGAGGAGAATGAACTTGTTAGATTCTGATTCTTGATGTTCATCAATTCTTACAATATTAAAAAACAAAAGTACATTTCATTCTTTATTCTCTGAAGTTTTCTAATTGTTATCATTAACCTCCTCTTTAGATAGCAGTTTATGGTAAAAGCTTTAACCATTCGGCAAGGGACGCCTGGGAGTTATTCCAGTCAACTGGTGTTGAAGCACTTGTTGCCTATGATTGTTCTGGGGCTGTTCTACTAATGGGCACTTTATTGGGTGGACTCATCACTGGAACTTGCTCAGGAGTCTGGACATGGACTAAATGGAGCGACCGGGTTATTATGGTTGGTTCTACTGCAATGCTAATGGGAATGGTCTTGGTAATTATCCCTCTTCAACAAAGTTTATCACCCCTTTTGTTCCTACTTTTCTGTTTTGACAATTTCTTTCATCTGAGTTCTTGTTTGTTTTGCCTCGGCCAATGCATTCACACATCTATATTATTGTTCCGAATTTTTTTTCTTTTTGTTTGTTTGTTTTTTTTTTTTTTTGATGAAATTCCGAATAAAAGAGTTTGTTTTATTATTTGCATGTGGTATGTAGAGCACGTTACACCTCCGCCTATGCGTTTGTATAGCCGGTCCCAAGTCCGGGTAAAGGATGAGGGTTGCGGTAGGTTGACGGTCAGCGTAAAAATAAGTCACTCATGGATTTCACTTACACATAATCTGTTTGGGCGTTCCCTACGTGCGACGCGCTATGCCAGGCCTCAGGTATAGTGTTAAATAGGCAATGGGGGTCTTCGCACATTCATGGACGTGTGCAGGGGGAAAAGCGAGCCCATGCACCATGTCGGGCCCCGGATATGGTGAAAAATATGCAAGGGGAGTCCTTGCACATTCATGGACGTATGCAAGGGGCAGAGCTAACCCGTGATAGGAAAATTCGTTTAGGTAGTTGGAATGTAGGTTTTTTAACTGGTAGATCTATGGAGTTAGTAGATGTTATGGTAAGAAGAAGAATTAACATTTTATGCTTATAGGAAACGAAGTGGACATGAGAGAAAGCAAAGGAGATTGAAAATTTAGGACACAAGTTATGGTATACAGGTTGGGAAAGGAATCGCAATGGAGTTGGTATTCTAGTGGACGAAACTGTAAAGGATGACGTAGTTGAGATTAAGCGAATAGGTGATAGAATTATTATGCTTAAATTGATACTAGGAAATAAGTTCATCTATGTAATTAGCTTACGCTCCACAAATAGGATTGGATGCATAAACTAAAGTCAAGTTCTGGGAAGACATGGATGGCTTAGTGTGTGGTATAAACAATGAGGATAGCATTTTCATAGGAGATCTCAATGGTCATGTTGGTAAGGATAGGGAAAACTTCGAAAGGATCCATGGTGGTTTTGGTTTTGGAGCTCGAAATGAAGAAGGAAATTCTATTTTGGAATTTGTGTTGGGACATGATTTTATCATAACAAACACATTTTTCAAAAAAAGAGATTCTCACTTGATTACTTTTAAGAATGGGAGGAACTTGAGCCAGATAGATTATTCTCACAAGGTATAGAGAACGTTCTCTATTTAAGGATTGTAAAGTAATTCCTAGAGAAGTACTAGCAACCCAACATAGGTTAGTGATCTTAGATGTGTGCATTAAGCTTTGCTATAGAAGGACTAAGATAAACCACTTCCCACGAACTCGTTGGTGTCATTTGAAGGGAATAAAGCAATTGGCCTTTAAAGAGAAGTTGTTGGAGGAGGCTACTTGGTCATATATAGGTGATGTAAATACTATGTGGGATGTCATGGCCAACTGCATTAGAAAAGTGGCAAAGGAGGTACTAGGGGAATATAGAGATAGAGGCCCCC